GACTTGGCTCGTGTGCCAACAGAGAGGACTCTGCATGCCCACTGTGGCACGTGTGCCATAGGTTCATCACCACTGCTCTAGAACATGTGAGAAGTTAAAGCATATGCTTTAATTTTCTACACTGTACATAAAGAGGATCAGTTGTTAAATTTTTAGTATTATTACTGGAAGCATCTTACTGGAAATGTTCAGAAATGTTTCAGAGCAATATCCACACACTCCTAAATAAGAGCCAAGGAAGTCACCTCAACAGTGTGTGTTAACACTAGTTCCCCATCTTTTATTATCGGCACTCTGGGTGATGTTGGGGGAGTCATGACTCAGTTGCCTAGCCACAAAAAGAAGCGTGATAAAGCTCTTTTACAGACTATTTCCTTTTTATATCTAGAAAGCTGAGTCTAGTCCATTAAAAATTGTATGCTGAAAAATGATGCAAACCTATAGATCATGCACCAAAGTCTTCCTAATTCTACAGTAAGGAAATTTCAACAATAAGGATACAAAAGTCAAGGTCAGGTAAGTCAATGAAATAATTCAAATTCACTCTTGTTGTCATGCACCATCAAGTCACCTCTGACTTATGGTGACCCTATGAAGGAAAGCTCTCCAAAATGTTCTAACAAATTCACTAGTAGTACACAATTTTAATTTTACCTGCAAGCTGATATAAGTAATTCTTCCATCATATGAAACCTGGTTCACAAGTCATATTGAGCTCCTAGAAACTTTGCAGTATCAGTATTGGAAAAAACTCCACAAATCATTCCAAGAGGAGGAAGGGGAACCATAAGAATAACACATCTCCAAATCATATGAAAGACTAGCAAAGGATTTTGGTTTTGTCTCTTAAGCTTATGCACAGGTAAATGTCACCTTCTGCCAAATTATAAGCCGGAAGATTACTGCATTTGAAGACCATCCTAGGATATATTGATATTTCTGGAAGAAGGGGGAAATCTACTGAACAAGAAAAGGAAAAGTTTAAAACTAACGTACATAACAGCAATATGAATTGCAAGAATGTAATTCTGTGAACATTTAGTCACAAAACAAAAGTCCTGCAACCCTCCGTGTTCCCCAGCCAGGAGTCATGAGACTTCACTCTGTCTAAGCATCCACAGAACTGCAGCCTGGCAGCGCCAATGAGGTCAGGGAAGAAATTAAGCACCTGGCACTTAAATTATATAATTAACTCATTTTATAAGTAAAAGGTATCCAACCAAATCAGTGGCTGTCTTCATAGTCACTCTTCTGTAAATAAATAAATTTGTATTGCCTGAGCTTCACAAGACAAATCCTCAGGAGCACCTCCTGTCATGATAGCGTGTTATGTGGAAAGCACAAGAACCAAGTAAACTGCTGTTTTAAGGATTGTGCAGATATGTCACAGGCAATCCAAGTCTGCTTAATCAGTGAAGTTACCAATTATGAATGTATTCTTTGCTACAGAATACCTTAGGACAGTCTGCATAAGCTTTTTCATAACTTATAGACCACCTCTATCAGGCCGGTGCCAGATGCACATAAGCCTCCAAACATTTTCAGCCATCTGGGTTTAGCGCTGCTGAGAATGAGGGAAAGTGGCTACAGTGCAGGTTGGAATCAATGTAAGGTGGCAGCCCCGACCTCCTCCCCACCAAACCTGGGAATGCCTCTTCTTCCTGCCCCAAGGCTCAGCTGCAACCTCATGCGAAGGGGCACAGCTGGCACAACTGTTTCTGTGCTGGCTGCAACAGAGCAGGTTGGGGGTCAGCCTTCACAGTCTATGCACTGAGACTGCAAGATCTTTGAGGTGGGACTCTGAAGATTTTTATGGTCTCTCAGACAGTATCAGGAGCTACAGGACTGCATCTCAACAGACCACAACATTAATGCATTGATCAAAAAACTATGTCTTTCCCAACTGACCACAATTTTCCAAGAAAATATTATGCTGAGTCACTAAATGCTGCACAGTCAAGTGACAGTCAAGTACAAGCTTGTGTGAACTACCATTGTAACCCATTACGTGACTGTTTCACTTTAAAAAATATAATCTCTGCGCACGCATGACCGCCTCGCCATGTGCTGCCCCCGCCGACCCCTGCCCACACTGCCTTGGTGGCCCACGCCCATCGCCGGCACTTTTCCACTGGCCCCCTGTTCAAAAAGTTTGAGGACCCCTGCTTTGGGACATCCTCCCCAGCCCAATACTTTCTAGATCTTTGGCCTTCAGCTCCCATCAGCCTCAGGCAGCAATCAGTAATTCTGGGAGTTGCCGTCCAAACCAAGTTTAGGAAGCCTGCTTTAAGGAACATAAAATGTAATATTTATTACTTGGGTCTGTTCATAAGATAATCATTACCATTTATTTTTAAAAAGTAAACTCAGTATTGTCTGAATAAACCATATTTTAAAATTTAAAAAACCAAACACAGTAATTGTATGAGCACATCAAGATATGCTGAAGTATCAGGCCTGCATACTTGAGTCGGTACAATTAGAGCAGCCAGCAGGCAGTTGACAGGACTGGCAGATTAGACCATACAATGCCAGTCCGGCACCATCTGCACTGGCTACCAAATGAAGTCTGGATCCAATTTAAGGTGCTGACAATGGCATATAAAGCCTGAAACAGTTCAGGGCCTAGATATCTGAAGGAATGCCTTCTTCCATATACACCTGCCCTGTCCTTAAGTTCTTCCACAGAGGTCCTTCTCCAAGTGCCCTCTCTGAAGGAAATGAGGAAGGCTGTTACAAAGAGAAGTGCCTTCTCAGTGGTGGCACTTTGACTGTTGAATATACTCCCCAGAGAGCTTCGTCCGGCACCAACTCTTTATTCCTTCCAGCACCAGACCAAAACCTTTTTATCTGACCAATATTTTAACTGTTGATTTTAATATAGCTTTAATTTTAATCACATGCTGTACATGGTTTTAATGTTTTTAGGACTGTAAGCTCTTGAGAATTTCTGTGAAAATAATATAGAAAAAATGAAATGAATAAATAATAACAAGATATACATATTTCAGGTTCCTACTTAATGTCTGACCAGAGATAACATCAACAAGTAATCCCTGAAGCATTTGAATCATCTCTGAAAGCAGAAGCAGCAGAAAGAAATGGACGACTTGTGTACAACATTATTTCTGTTTCTAAGGAAGTTTAGGGAAGTTCCTGAAGCCTTTTCTGCTTGTGCAGTGAAGCTCAGGGAAATCTAGTCTGAAGAGAAAGGTATTGCAATTTTATTTAGTTGGGAAAAATCATCTCATTAGGAATGGTAAACAACCATATTTAATGTAAGAACTTTTAGGCAGTCTCATTCTATTATTTGAAAAGTGACATTTTATTCTTGCCAATAATTTTCATTATTAAACACCCTTTTGAAGAGTTGTATTTAACAGTGGTATTAATTCCATATCTACACCATAGGAATCAGGTTGCTGAGTTTCTTTTACATAGTTTATTCAAGTGGCAGCAAATGAGGGGATTTTAGTTGAGGCAGCATTCTCTAGCAGTGAGGCCTGAGAATTTCATTAAAAACCTGTGACACACTTTCTTAATGTGCATAAAAGAAATTATAGTGGTTTGACTCACATAATGTTCTATTAGATCTGGTGGCAGTGGTAGGATAACCTGCGGGTCCTTTTTTCTTATGTGGGTTTTAGATTAGAACATTAAGTAGAAGCAATTCTTAACGTGTTTAGACAGAAAAAAAGTTAGCATGTTGGGTAGAGCACTGGACTGGGACTCAAGAGATCTGTGTTCTAATTTCCACTCAGCCATGAAGCTCACTGACTTGCAGCTAGTCTACTTCACAGAATCAAGATTATTTGCTATTGTAATTGTATTGTCATTATTTACGATTGTCTGTTTTAGCTGTTTTAAACTTTTTTCTGCTTTTATGATATTCTATTGCATTTTTATTGTCGTCTTTACTGAATGTGGTAAACCACCCAGAGAGCTTTGGCTGTGGGGCAGTACAGAAATGAAATAATAATTATTCACAAGTATGCCACACTTTCTCACATGCCTCCATTTACTTCCCCTTCACCTCTTTTTTGCCCCTTCGCCTTCAACACACAACATTCAAGAGTGCATCTCCATGTCAAAAGGCACCTTGTAACTATTCCATCTTTTCCTCCTGAATTCATATTTTGTGGAAAGAAAAAGTGACAAAACAGGCAGCAGAAAAGTGAAGGGCAGTTACAGATTAACAGCAATGCCTAGAACCTTCCATAAAATCCAGTGACTGAAGCAAACCAAAAACCTAGTGTGGAAGCAGCCCAGGTCATCCCAAAGGGTGGATCAGCAATCACCAAGTCGAAGCCTCCATCCACAAGCCACAACTCAGCATCTGGCTCCACATGCACAGAACCACCATCCTGCACCTAGGTCAATGGATCCTGTGCTTCTGTTAACACGCAATCCTGAAAACCTGAATTCTGCCTGTACTATATAATGTGCTCTCCAAAAATATTTCTATTTTGTACCAACGGGTGGGTTTATTTATTTATTAAACAGAGACTCAAACCTTGTCTGAAACTTTATAGAGAAGACACCTGTCTGTGCGGCAAGCTGGGCTCCAGTCCCATAACTTTACTCCAAACGAACTCTAAGGCCTATGGTGCAGGAAGGGAGCATGGTCACTGCAAAACTACTTCGGACTGTTCTTCACACCAGGTGTGGGCAAAAGGTGAGTGTCCAAATCTTTGGACTTCAACTTCCACGATCCCCAGCCCCCAGGGCCAACAGCGAGGGCTGCTGGGAGTGGAAGTCTACAACCTTCGGGGAAAACAACCTTCTGCCCTCCGCCTTCTCTGAACCGCTTGGCGGGCAGGGGCATCCACTGTGTGGGCCTCCTGCGCCCTGAGTGACAGCCGTCTGGGCACGGCCTGACTTGCGGGGCGCTTCCCGCGCCACGTCCCGGAGACTCGCCCAAAGGCAGGCGCCCTCCCCACGCGGCCCACAGAAGGGGGCGGCGGCGGCGACTCCTTCCCTCTCCCCCTTTCCCTCCTCACCCGCTATTTGGGTCACGAAGGCTTCGGCCACCAGCGACATGCTTCCACGCGGGAGGCGGCTCCAGCGGCCTCCAGGCGCCCCTTCCCGCCCCTTCCCTTCGCTCGCGCGCCCGGCGCCCGTTCTTTGCACGGCGCTGCAACCCGCACAAGGTGAAATGCGCCCACGAGACAACCGCGGCTGCGCCGCAAGAGAAGCATATCCGGGGCTTGCTTGCTTCGCTCCACCCCTCGGCGAACACCAGCATTAGCAGCGCGGCGGCGAAGGGAGGAAGAGGCAGAAAGCAGCGGTGCTCTGAACTTGGTGGTGCCGGGGCTTGAACCCTGGGATTTGCTAAATGGACGGTTACTTGTTATTGTTGCAACGTCGTGGTTCACCATGGAGCCCCCCGCGCCCTTGTGTGTCACACCTGTTAGCTGAGCATCGGTTGACTTGAGCTCCAGTCCACAAAAACTGTAGTGCTAAGCAGCTGTTTAGGAATGCGATCCCCACCGGCCCGGCGGACTTAACGGACGAGCACGCCCCTCTCTTTGGGGGGAAAAGGTGGTGAAGATGAGTCGCAAGCTTCCTCGGAGGAGAGGCGCGCGCCCTCCGCCAAGCAAGCTTCTGAGCTCCGGGTTCGGTTTCCTTTGCTGGTAGGGAGCGGGGCGGCCAAGCGCGGAGAAGAACGAAAGGCGTGGCAAGCCTTCCAGTCCCGCGACCCGGTTATTCGGGGTTTTAGAAAGACAAAGCAGAGGCATTCCTCCTGGAAACTGATTGTCTTAACTTTAGTTCAGGCAATGAAACTTGCACAGTAGACAAGTCACGGGTGTGATTATAATGCACGCAGAAGTAGAATGCCTGGTATGCTTAGTTTTCGCACGTGGTTTCTGTATGACCTCCCTGCTTGCCCCGCCCTCTGTCCTCTGAATTTCTCACACAACTGTCCTAGCAGCTGCAAAAACTATTGGCTGTCTGTGTGCTTTCTCTTGAACTGACTTTTTAAAATTGCTTTAAGGCAGAGATCACAAGTGCATACCATTTGTTCTTATTAATGTATATACCGTTTTACCAAAGCAGCTTGCAAAGTACTCTGCTAACAATGGGATCTGACAAAATTCCATACTGATAAAATAGCATGACCATCAAACTGGCAGACTGCATAAAGGCACAATCCTGTGAACCTACTGCTGTTGTCTGGTTGCAGTCCCGGCTCAGTCCTTAAAAAAATACTGTGAGGTTAGAGCTGGGACTCTGACCTTAGATGAGCTTCCCTCTGCCCTTGCAGCCAGTGAGGTTCTTTCTGCACCAGGTAAGCTCCAAAGATGGAAGATAATCTTCAGATTTGGGATGGGGAGGTATTGTGGGGGGCAGCAAGAGAAGGAGAACAGCAAGGCACTGCCAGCTTGGCAGTGCCGCAGCCGCCCCCCCCCCCCCCCCCCCCGGCGGGGGGGGCCCCCCCCCCCCCCCCCCCCCCCCGAGGAGCGTGGAAGCAATCCTAGTCTCCATGCTCCTCCCACCTTTCCTTGAATACCCAAAATCCAGGGAGTATGGGCTGCCCCGTTGTATGGTGCCCTGAGAAAAGCAAGCATGAAGGGGACATTAAAGTAGAATACAATCACCACTTCAAATGCCTTGTGCAGCTTTTCACAAGTATGCCAACTGGTGCTAGGTAATGAGCTTCTCTGTGCTGAACCTCCTGCTGTGTGGGATGCACACATGCCATTTTATGCGAAGAAAAGTGCATTTGGTCTCACTGCTGAAGTTAGATGCCTTCGCACTGCCATGCCTCACAGTGCAAAAGGGAACATGATGCAGCTCGCACTTCTGGTTCCCTGCCTTTTTTGTAATGTGTAAAGAAAGGCATTTTTGTCTCCACCCACCTTCATATTGTGTAATGCAAGTAGCATTGTGAGAATCTGTAAGATCTGTTCCAGAGAAAGCACTGGAAAGTCAGAACTCCCTCCTGGGGGGACGGATGGCAGAAACCTGTGCTGAGGGTTCAGGTTCTCCTGATGGGGAGGCTGCTTGGCACTGTCTGTTTCCGGGACTCTTAGCTCCTCCGGGAAGCATGCCTCTAGTAAGGGCATGACACTGACCAGCAAGGAATGCACCTCCATATTCCCACCATACATGCAGGTAAGTTTCTTTGCGATCTCAGCCCCTCCAGCATCCTGGTCTACGTGGCTGCATATCTGCAGGGTTAAACACCACTGTAGAATGACTTTTAAAGTATTTTATTCTAGTTGATTCTGGTGCAGTTTCCTAGCAACAAGATACTGCTGGGAATATGTAGCAACTACTACGGTTATCCTACTTAAAGAAATATGTTCAGATCCTCTGCAACAAATAAGGTTTTCTTTGGGGTTTATGCTATGAAGAGATTATCTAGACAGGGTCTTCTTTCAAGTATGTGCATATTGTACAGCTGGATTTCACGTTTCTTGTTCAGTATCTTTATTAAAATCTGCCTCTGTGGGATTGTATTAGTTGCTGCTCTTTCCCTGGTGTTGGACAACCAGCATGCTGGAGGCCTACAATTCTGCATGGTTTGGGTATATATACATCAAGTCACTTTTATTCCTGAAGTCCTCTCATACATCTGACTTTGACCAGCATTGACTAACGACAAGGCTGACACTGTATACCCCAATAATTCCAATGTCTACAGGCTTTCGCTCCCTCTTACTTCATATTTCATTTTAATAGCAGAAGCAGAATTAAACTGTCAGCAATATTTGAGAAGCTAACACTGTTTATGTTACTAACGGGTTTTACATCCGTCATGACTTATGTAGTAAATGTCATCACCTTCAAACATATGCTTTGCCTCCATTTGCTGGATAGTTATGTGGCTAATCCTCAAACCAACAATCCATCATAATGAACAGAATTATGATAAATATCCCCATCCGTTACAATATTGGCCAGTGCTTTTCATTACTACATTGTCTAGATCTAATTTCAACGTAGCTCTCTCTCACTATATTTCCAAAGTGAGCTAGTCATTATCTCCAGCCTAATCTTGCCGCTCTCAATGAAGGAGGGGTGGGAGGGAGCAATTTAATGAGAGATTTTATGAGAATTTCACCTCAGGTCGTATCAGCTATGAAGAGTGGTGTGTGACCTTATGGGTGGTAACTATTCATATATTAAAGAAAGGTTCATTCTCCATTCAGTACTTATATCTGATTTTGTATTTTATTATATTTTTTTAGCCCAAGGTGTCACTTGGCAGATTTATGGACTGTATAAATTATTACATTGAGCCTTTTATCAGTGGGTCTGCTATGCACACTGGTGCGCCAGTGCACATGTGTACTTTGGTTTGGGTGGAAGACGATAGTCCATTCACATCAGTGTTGGGGCATGCGCTGTGTGCACCCAGTGGGACTGCGCATGTGCAGCGTTTCTCAGCACTGGAGCAATTCAGCCACACCCAACTCCCACCGAACCCCCTCATGGGCACGGGGGGGGGGAGGGGGCTGTACTGAGCTAAGGATCGCATGCTAACTTTCCCCATTCTTTCCCCTTCCCCTCTCCCTCTCCTTTCCCCTCCCCAGCTTGTAAGTTTTAAGCTGTAAATCATGGATGAATATGCATGTTTTGCACCAGGTTTGTCCCCGGGCTTGGTTTCTCCTACAGGATTTCTCCCCTGTCTCTTTGCCAGACCTTCTCTGGACCTGGCGCCAATAAATCAGAATTGACAACGCCACCTTCATCCTGTGTAATTTCTGCCTGTCTGTTTGCCACTTGCCCAAGGGACTTGGTGGGGGTCTGAGATCCTGAAACCAAGCTTTATTTCCAGATGGACACTTCTCCAGGCACATAAATTAAATGTTTGCCCTTTTAAGACAGACACAAAAGGGAAAGGACGTTTCTCCAACAGATGATAACTTGTGGCGGATTTTCTACAATGACTGACAAAAGATGTAATGAAAGGCCTAGTATTTTCCACAAGACAAGAATCTTGTGTCATGATCATCAGTGCCAGCCTCCTGCTTTCCAGCAGAGTGCTGGGTCTTCTCATCTTGGATAGGAATCAGTTGGAGAGGGAGGGAGTTACTTCAACACCTGTTCATAGATTGTAGATAGAGTTGATCCTGGACATATCAAATTAATCTGATATGTTACCTTATTTGAGTTCCTTTTTAGGCTTCCCCCCCTCCCTTTTGGCAATACTGAATTATGTCACTTTATGTAAAGCTATGCATGTGCAGCAATTTGATTAGGCTCTGATGTACCTTAAATCCTACAGGGCTCTTGGATGCAGCGCTGTGCAAATAATTAGCATGATAAAGGAGCTGAATGGAGTATATGGCATTAATTAGCCAATTGATCAATTATATCAGTTGTACTCAAAAACTGCCTCCTCCTAATCATTTCTGCACTACTAGGTAAGTGTATAGAAAGTTGTACTGTTTTATTCATATGTTAAAGAGAAGATAATGATGCAAGTGAGTCATTATATTAATGTACTGCTATTAGGTTATTTCTTATTTATTCTAGTAATATTTATTTCACTATGCATGATAGTACAATACAAGTATCAATGTGAGCATAACTGGTAATGCCAGTGTGAATAAAATTAATAAAATAGAACTAGCATCACATTATAATGCCAGTATAATACCAGCATCTCTAGTTATACTCCTGTGATGCTCATATTGTACTAGCAATATTATATGTTGTCGATTTTATTCATTAAATTGCTTGAGGGTCTTGGTGAATTGTGCCACCACACACACACACACACACACTGGTGGGCTGCCCTCGAAATAACCGTGCATGGTAAGTTAGCCTGACATACAGTGAGTGGCCCAAGGTCACTGCACGGGTCTGGGTAGGGCTCAGAGCTGGTGCTGGGAGGCAGCTCACTAGGGCCAGAGGCCTAAGTCTCTGAGATGCCGCCTGCTCTGCCAACTTGCTTCCCGTGGGTGCTGGAAGGCTGAGGTGCAGGCCCAGGGACCCTGAAGATCTCTGTCACATCTGAGCCGCTGGGCTTTGTGCCCTCATGTGCTTCGCCTTCTGCTGGCCAACCCCCAAATTAAGTTTATTTCTGAAATATGTGCCCTCTCCCCTTCCATACATCCCTTTTTACCAATAGGGACATTCTTAGCATCCTTTAAATTACGCACACACATACACAGAGAGGGAGCGGGAGAGAGAAAAAGCACATA